TATTCCACTCTTCACGATACAGAGAGCTCAGAACTTGGCCTCCAGTTCGCTTGTGGAATTTAGTAGTCTAGTTCTAATACTACCTCTTCAGCCTCTGGCAAGCATGCTACTGTTAATAGTAGGGCTTGGGAAAAGACTAAAAATAGAACAAGGAAAGCAAGCCCATGCAGCCAGAGTACAAAGAACAGAGAAAATGAGATGAGCAGAGAGAACCTTATCATATAGATAAGTCAGACAACCACATGGTTTTGAAGGAAAGAAATGGATACCAATGTCCTCAGAAAGCTGAGTAGAAGAATAAATAGCAGGCAAAGGAAAACAGTTGGTAATTGCTAAATTGTGTGTGATGACGGATCTATTTACAAAACTATTTAAGAGGTTCTGCTTCCTGTATTGTTACTACTAAGTAAATAGAAGTTTGTTGCCTGTCACTTGTTTGAATTTCATTCTTTGTGTAGCAAAATATAACTGTTTATCTTTCTGGATGGTTATCTGTAGAAGGAAAAAAGTTAAGATCTGCTGCTCTGTTTCTCTTTCACCTCCTCTGTCTCCTTCTCCCCATTGTTTTTGAGGTCTGGGTTGCTAACTGGACTGCATTTCTGAGACATTGACCAGAAAGTAGGCCTTAGATCTTAGGCCTTCAAGGAGGGAAATCCATTTCCATCTCTTTCTTTTCCTTTTGGCTACTGTGTTGAAATAAATTCTTGTGTTCTATTTTACTCTCTTCTAGGTTTAGATGTGTGACTATGGACATCTATCTCTTTGGACATCAGAATGTTTTCTACAGGAAAGTACCAGACACCTGTTCAGTAAAACCCAGCCCACTGTTTGATGCAGCTTTGAGCAGCTAGAGGAAGAAGAGTTTCCCTCTACTCGCTGACGGAAAAGGAGAAGAGCAAATAAGGAGTCAGTTATAGCACAGAAAGTCAACCGCACCAGGAGAGGCAGTAAATGTTTCTTACTTTCCATGGAAGGGATGTTTGCATCTTCATGAATCCAGGGACAAAGGAAAGCGAGTAAGCAACGTGGTTTGCCATTTATTTTTTGATCTGTCCAGGAGAAGGCACATATCTTAATGTTATTTAGCAAATAATAATAATAATAATAATTTAATTAAGCTTATGTCAGTAGAAAAAGAAAGAAAATCAATGCCTAGAACTGTACCATTGATTTTAAAGGAAGAGAAAGGGGGAATTTTTTTAGTGGTTAAGAGTGAAACAGTATGATCTCTCTATCTCAAATTTTCCCTCCATTCCTCCCTCCCTCCCTCTGCTCCTCTTACAAACACTTACGAATGTCTGTTACATGACAGATTCTGGGCTACGTATGACAGAGTACAACACATCAGCAATGAGCTCTGCCCCCCGTATCCCCATTGGTTTATTACAAACTTCAGATAGCCATTGTGGTGTCCTAGATTTATCATTTTAAGATCAGGTAACACTGACATTCCCAAGTAACTTAACAGCGACTTTGCAGTTTACAACTCCAAGACTGGACCATGGGCTCATGATTCTCTGTCACCATCTAGAGACAATTTATACATATTGCAGGGCCAGTTCCTGGAAAACTGTGTATGAAATCATCCCAGAAGTTACGGCTTTGCAAGTATTTATCAGCCCTAAAAAAGAGACTGGACATCTACAAATGAATGGAACTGCAAGTTTTGATCTTCCAGATCTAGAACTATGTAAGAAATGAGTCTTGGTTTCTGTACCCAATCATGGAGGACTTGAATCTATGGAGAGCAAGATTGACTGGGGTATGGAAGAACAGCTATAAAATCAGTTACACACCACTTACATTAAGTTCAAGAGGAGCCCTCTAGTCTCTCAACAAAATGGGCACTCAACAAAAAATGTCACAGAATAGGACTGGGAATCTGTACTATTTATCCAGGTTCTCGCCTAGGGGAATTTTACCCACCAGGAAACATTTGGAAACCTCACAACATTTTGTTGCATTTTGGGGGCTGCTACTGGCATTTAGTGGAGAGAAGCCAGAGATGCTGCTAAACATCCTATGTTTATAATGCACAGGATGATAACCCCTACCACAAATGATTATCCAGCCTAAATCTCAGTACTACTGAGGTTGAGAAACTCCACAATTGAGCATAGAGCATAGTTAAGGGTGGTTCTCTGACTTCAACCCTGACCATGGCGAGTAACCTATATTATTAACCCTAAAAGAGGAGGACCAGAGAAATATGGATAATTTCATGCAAATGTATCTTAATGGAGAGACACAAATCAGGGCCATGGTTATTTTTAGCTGAGTGTGGACAAGCCCTTTACCCTCCAGTTTCCTTCCGTATTCACCTGATGATGTTGCTGACAGTGCTGTTGATCCCAGTCTCCTGGGATTTTATTCAGCCTGTTGTTTTATTCAGCCTGTTGTTTGGTGACGTGACCTCCAGCAGTGTTTTACTGCACATCTTCGACGTCCAGTTTCCTATGGTGTCCAGTTCTTCACGGAATCACATAAAGCACTTAAGTCACTTGTGTCTGAATCACCCAAAAGTGCTTACTGCAAATGCACACTTGGGCCGTACACCAAATCCGTGGAGTCAGAATCACAGTGCTTCGTGGCCTGGAAATCGGCATTTTTAAGCTAGCATTACAGATGATTTTGACATACATTCAAGTTTGACATAGGATGGATGAAATCACAGAAATACACCATCATCACTTCTTAAAGTCCACTTATAATGTGCTTCGAAAAATACATTCACTTACCCCTTAGGCTATCCTTTTGATGTAACATGCTGATTCCTATTTTACAGATTATAAAACAGGGGCCACAGAGCTTAAACAGATGAAGTAGGGAAACCCAAGTGATTTGTTTAGCCCTGATGTTCTGTGAGGACTTGCCTCATGTTCCTTAGGCAGACATATCACCTTCTCTGCCTCTGCAGCCGGGGTTTACCTCTTCCCGGTCGTGTTCAATAAAACCGACTATGTGTATGGAGCTATCACTTAATCGAGGCTTGACATGGACCTCATGTTAATTATTTCAGTACCCACAGGACTGAGCGGAGTAACACATCTACCTCCACTGCCACTACCCTGGTCCCAGCAAGACACTGTCATTGTGCCCCTTCATGCCAGCAACAGTTGCCTAGTTTGTTTCTGGCCCTGCCTCAGCGCGTCCAATCCCTACCCTTGCTCAAAAAATGATTCACATTATTTTTTTATTGGACGTGATGTTGCCTCCTACACATACACAAACCCCCATTCATTTAAATCTAATGACTTCCAACGTGCTTCGCCCCAGCTTACAAGGTCCAGCTGACCCAGCAACTGCTGTGTTTGCTTCTTCCTCTGGCCTGTAACAGTTTTCACGTGGCAATCACTTAACTACCTCGAGACCTTCATTTCTGCTGTGCCCCCTGACCTAACATGCAAGATCCTACTCCCCTCTTCCCTCGTAAAACCGATCCACTCTCTGGCCTTATTTAAGTGTCAGCGCCTAAGAGATGCCTTGCACGTGTGTGTGTGTGTGTGTGTGTAGACATCTAAATTAGATTCTGCTGCCATCTAATTTAGGAGACTATTCTTTTCCTTTTAGTATTTGTGTTCATTTTGCTTCTATTACTGTTGTCGAGCTATCCAATCAGATTCGTTTCCACTGGCCCGTGAGAATGTATTTTGTTCACCTCTGCAAACAGGGATCAAAGGATCCAATAAATGTCTTGAGTAAATGAACAGGCACATAGCAAACTGGATGCACATTCCTGGTGATGGCGTGCACTGTTTGTTATAACTGATTTCTGTGGGTTTGGGTATCTGGGGCCAAGATTCAGTCTCGAAGAGTGGGAAGCACGGTCACCGTGAGAAGAGAGGGAGAGATCCGGGAGAAGAGGGAGGCCCCCGCGTGCCATGAGTTTTTACATGCTGCAAACAGTGACAGGCTCATTGTTCTGGTCCTCCGGGCTGCCTCAGATTTGCTGACTCTGGGAAGCTGGGTTATCTTGTGCTCATCTGAGCCTCTTCTTCCTCATCTTTATCAAGGAATTAATAATTCCCATCTGAAAAGGGTAGGGCTTGCGGCAAATGCGATACAGCAGGGGATAGCTCCCAGCACTTAGGAGGTGTGGAGGACGCTATCTTGACTCTTTGCCAGAAGAGTTGAAAATGAGAAGTCTGCACAGACAGCGAAGAAGTCGTGCCACTCACCTGAGCCTTTCCTCTTCTGAACTCATCTCCCCAGTGCGCTTAAATTACGTTTTCCAAGCCTGACCCTGGGCGCTCCCCTCCTTCTCACGGCTGTCGGTCCCTCCCTCCCCATCACTCCCACCCAGCCTCCCCGCCCCCTTCGCCCCCTCCCTCGGAGTTGGAGCCGGGAATCCCACGCCCTTGCACCAGCCCGGGGGCTCGGACGAGCCCGGGAGCCGCTGGTCGCCAATCACCGCGCGGTGGAGAGGCGGGCGCTCGGCTCCGGCGCGCTGGGGGAGCCAGCTGGCGCTGCTTTCCCCGTAGCCTCAGACGCTCACATCGACACAGACAGACTCACAGACGGGCGGGCAGGCACCGACAGAGTCTCTGAGCCGTTTGCGCTCCAGTCCCGGCCCAGGGAGCACCCCGCACCCCCTGGGGTGCCGCAAAGGGCAGCTCGGCAGGCCCGCGCCGGGAGAAGGGAGGGCGCGCAGGCAGCCGGAGGAGGGGAGGTCCCAGCGCGCCTCCGCTGCGATGTGAACGGCGGCGGCTCTCACCTGGAGCCGCACCTGGGGCGCCGAGCTCCGGGGCCGCGGAGAGAATGCTCGCCGCCCGTGCGCTCCGCCTGCAGCGTCTGGCCACCCGCAGCCGCCGCGCCCGCACCTGACCATGGAGTGCGCCCTCCTGCTCGCGTGCGCCCTCCCGGCCGCGGGTTCGGGCCCGCCGAGGGGCCCGGCGGGACTGCGGCGCGTGGCTAAGGCAGGTGCCGCCGAGCGGAGCTCCGAGAGCGGGTGGCAGAGGGCGCCCGACGCCAGCCCCACCGCGCCCCTCACGCGCGATGTCACCTTTTCTTTTGCAGGCGCTCCAGCTGTGCTGCCTCTGCTGTGCGTCGGTCGCCGCGGCCTTAGCCAGTGACAGCAGCAGCGGCGCCAGCGGATTAAATGATGGTTCGTATTTGCCCCCCACCCCCAAGAAGGGCCTTTCGCAGCACTTTGTCCCTTCCTTCCCCCAAAAACAGAAAAGATGGAAAAGTGCACCCCCTAACCTGGCAGGTGTGCGCTGTCTTGGAAATGGTTCCTATTTGGAGAGAGGGGAAGGTTGGCAAGGACTGAACTTATCAAAAGAATCAATGCCCCAAGCTGCAAGTCATATAAAAGAAAATACTCTCTCTCCTTCACAGGTGGCTTGTTAAGAAAAAAAAAAAAACAAAAAAACAACCTTAACTGCAGTGAGAAATTCTAAGGGAGGTGGACATTAACTAAGGAATTACTTATTTCCTCCCTCTCCTAACTCTTGGTGGGGGAAGCTAATTCTTAGTGGGAGATGAAAGAACGTGAGCCTCTTTCCTCTCTCCATCTTTCCTTATTTTTCTCTCCACTTTTGTTCCTTTTCTATCTCTTCTTTTTTCTTTCCTTTTTGCTTCCCTTGTTTCACGGATGCCTAAGGCTGCTTTTAGAGAGAGGAAAGCAGGTGACTTGAGGTCTCTGAGTCCTTTATCTTTTCTGACGTCGCGCAGCCACAAACTTCCTAGAACATCCCTCACTTCTGTCATTTATTAACTTCCCAGTGGCGCGCAGAGGGAAATCCTTGTTTTGATTGTTTCCCATCAGCTACAGGAGAACAGCTGATTCCTGACGCAACGCGCCTAGCAAAACCTTACTGTTCAACCTGGATTCTTTAGAATTCTGTAAATTTTAGTTTTGCAAGGTTATCTCCTTTTCTTGTCATGGTAAAGAGGTCATGATGGGGAGTGGGGCAGGATGGAGTCATGCAGAAGGGATGCACCTTTTGTCCCACAGAGAGGCTGCAGTTTCTAAAACTACCCCTTATTCTTATATCAGGATCAGATGGCTGGAGGCCATGTCCGACCCAGCCACCACTTTGTAAAGGCCTCACCCTTACTCAGCTCCTGAAGTGATCAGTCAGAGATCACTCTTTACAGGGGACACTGACTGCCCTTCTTCCATGAAGGACTGAATGTAACCAATAGCCTGTTATTTTCCCCTTGGAAACAAGCTGGTAGCAGGTGTCTGGGGGACCTTGATGGCTGATTCCATAGAAGCCTGACTGGATAACGTTCCTACAGAGCCTTCCAAGTAAGAGCAGGCAGAGTTTCAGATAATTTGGGACAAGACAGTGAGAAACAAACTTCTGCATATGTCAGGAAGCATTTTCATAGTTAAGTTTTAGTTTGACAGGAGGAGGAGGTAGACTTTCTCTAAGGACTTGCACATAATCAAGAGCCACAGCCCTTTAAAGCAGTATATCAGATTTTTAAGAGAAGAAAAATATTGTATGTCTGGCTCAGATTTTCAAGGTTAAGAGAAGGGAAAAACTCCCCCCCCCCCATTATTTTAAAATATGTGTGTCAATTTTATAACATTTTTAGTTAAAAGACGAAGTCAAGAAAAATGGGAGTGGGAGGACATAAAGAATATAAAAATGAAAGCTGCCCAAGGAATAAGAGTCACAGATGGTTCATAAACAGAAGAAAATTATTGTCTATTGGGGAGAATTTTTTTTTTTTTATGTGAAGCTAATTAGGCCATCACTCATTGATCCTTGGTAGCTACCAGGGCTCCACTTTTCCTTTGTTTGTTTGTTTGTTTTGGAGGAGGGGGAAAGTTGTTGACTGTTTAGGGGAAAGGGAAATTCTTCCTTTTCCTCCTCCAGTAACCGGGGACCCAAGTGACTCAAACATACCTCATCGTTATTCAACATCTTTCTAAACACTTTCCAAAGTAGTTTCCCATTCTGTGCCTCGGAAGTGGAAATATGGAGTGTTTTTAATGTGCAGAGGGCATATTCCAAATCATTTTGTGGGATGATGCTTTTCAGCTTCAATGTTTGGTGAAAGAAAACACTGTGCTGGCTTTGCTTTTCAAATGGCAAATTGGATTTTAGCTCCTTCTCTTTGGAACATTCAGCAATTAGTGCTGCTCTAGGGAGCAATGGTGAATGTATTTTTAAACATGCCTTTCCAGGTGTCCCCTGATAAGCCACTCCCCCACCAACATGCCTCAGCAATTTTATACATCAGACTATATAGGAGGGTTCTGAGAATTTTGAGGCATTTTTGTGCATGTGCTGTATTTTATGCTTACAATTAAATGGGATCATCCCTGTGAAAGCTCACAGTAAAAATGCTAAGAGTGATACAAGTGCCAGAGTTTTCTTTTCACAAATAATATTGGAAATATGAAAATGCTCTTGCTTGTTAATGATCTGAAATACCATCTGAAGCTACCCCACACTGTGAGTTAGAACTTGAAGTGTAAACTCTGCCTCTGCCAAAATGCTCCCGATTCAGTTTAAGCACAGATAAATTAACCTCCTTGAAGAAAATTCCTGATTTTGTAGTTTCATATTCATTAACTTTATCTTCCAAAAAATTAAATTTTATATACATGACTCTGTGGCCAATATATTAAAAGATCCAGACCATTAAACGTCAAAAGAACATTCTAAATCTCTCTCCAGATGAGAGGCGTTACATTTTTCCACGGACATCCACGAAATTCATGAAAATCGTGATTGGCTTTCGGGCACCTGTAGAAATGACTGTGGCAGAGTTAATTGTAGAGACAGATCTTCTGCTTGCTGTGCTGCTCTGAATTATAGTTGATCTAGGTGCAAGGCAACAGGAACAAAGATATCTTTGAGTTTTGTGTTGCTCTTTGCCAGCCTGCTGGAAAGTGACCATTTGGAATTGTGGGCTCTGGGTGCTGACAGCTAAACTTTTCCCATTGCAGATTATGTCTTTGTCACGCCAGTAGAAGTAGACTCAGCCGGGTCATATATTTCACACGACATTTTGCACAACGGCAGGAAAAAGCGATCGGCGCAGAATGCCAGAAGCTCCCTGCACTACCGATTTTCAGCATTTGGACAGGAACTGCACTTAGAACTTAAGCCCTCGGCGATTTTGAGCAGTCACTTTATTGTCCAGGTACTTGGAAAAGATGGTGCTTCAGAGACTCAGAAACCCGAGGTGCAGCAATGCTTCTATCAGGGATTTATCAGAAATGACAGCTCCTCCTCTGTCGCTGTGTCTACGTGTGCTGGCTTGGTAAGTTCACCCCAGTCTGACTTGAGCTCCCTCTTTCGTGTTTTGTGTAACTTGAGTGAACAGATGTCTGCAGTATAAGTGCTCTTCGAGCCAAGTCCACACATTCACACTGTCAGCCTTGATATTTCTAATATTCTCAATTGAATTAATCTAATCTGCTCCCAGAAAAAGAAAATATAATAGAACTTTAATTACCATTTAGAACATTCTTTTGATGTTTAATGGTCTGGGACTTTTCATTCTCCATGTTTGAGATGATCCCCAAGGAAATTAACTTGATGGATGCCATTCGCTTTGTAATGTCCTGGGAGACCAGGCATTCTATAAATCTAACAAGCTGCATGCGTCTACATGGCTTTGAAATGGGAAAACTGTATTTCAAAGCAAAATTGCATTCAGCAGCCCTGGTAAGATCAACCTTCACTTTGCTGAAGGCAGGCCCTTTGTTTTCTTTGAACTAATCTGTTGCTGGTGTCCTGCTCACATAAGACATCCTTTTAGAATGTGGTGTGCTGTGTTCCTGGGCTGGCAGGATTCAATGTGGCATCCAGGGAAGCAGAACCTTTTAAAAGCATTTGGGACAAGCGTTATTTCCTGCCTATGTAATCCTCATCTGCTGAGCACCAGGCCAAGAATATCATTGTAAATGATACTCTTCTCAGGATTCAATCAAATATACGAGGTGGTAAATGGTGTTCTGGGTTGATTTCATTCTGTGTTGTGATTGAGAAGTGTCCTGAATTGACAGAAGAGTTGATGTGTGTTGAGACACACGGCAATTATGCTCTGGCATGGCCAGAAGAAGGAAAATGTGAGAAAACCCAGCTGAGAATGTAGTTAGTAATGTACATGGTACATCATGGCACAAAGCAAGATGTGGCTTGGGTGCGGGTGAATAAGGACTCCCATGTTCTTCATTAGTTGAAACTTTCAGTTACTTTTTAAATTTTTTCCCCCTATTTTGGCCTGAAATTTGGCTAAAACCTTTCTTTACAACCACAATCATGGTATTCTTCCTTTGGTCTATTTAAAATGATGAACGTGGCTCACCAATGACCTACATATTATTACATGGTTACGTGTCCCTGTGTATGCACACATGACTATATCTTGATTTTCTGTTTGTTTGTTTGTTTGTTTTGTTGTGGCATATCTCTTGGTCTTTATTTAGCATCCCCTCTGTATTTCTCTTTCTTCTGTCTATTCCAGTATCCTAAAGGAGGAGTTTACACAACCCACCATACTGGCTTAAACTATCTCATTCCACATACCAGTAGTTAAAAGCAGTCTGCCCAGGTTCTAATTCTCACACCAGCATTTACTCATAGGACCCTGGACTAATTATTTAACTCTGTGTTAAGTAGAGTTAACTATGCCTTAGTTTCTTTATTTCTAAGATGGTAATAACAAGAGTTTACATCACAGGGCAGTGGGGATTCAATGATTTCTTATGTGGAAAGTGCTATAGCGGTTCCTGGCAGGGATAATTGCCCTATAGCTGTTCTATTTTCAGCAAAACTTAGCCTCCTAATGTTTAGCACTCTCAGGACTCCACTCTGTGAGTGATGAGAAATCTGATCAAATGTCTCATATTAATAATCTCATGGTAATAGATTAGTATTATCAAAATTTTACATGGGTAGAATCATAAATTTTTCTTTATGAGGATTTCACAATGCTTTTATCCATTTTTTTTTTAAACTTTTAGGTTCAGGGGTATAAGTGAAGGTTTTGTTACATAGGTGAACTCATGTCACAGGGGTTTGTTGTACAGATTATTTCATCACCCATATATTAAGCCCAGTACCCAATGGTTATCTTTTCTGTTCCTCTCTCTTCTACCACCCTCCACCCCCAAGTAGACCACAGTGTCTGTTGTTCCCTTCTTTGTGTCCATGACTTCTCATCATTTAGCTCCCACTTACAAGTGAGAACGTGCGATTTGAATTTCTGTTCCTGCATTAGTTTGCTAATGATAATAGCCTTCCTCTCCATCCATGTTCCTGCAAAAGAGCTGATCTCGTTTATTTTTATGGCTGCATAGTATTCCGTGGTGTCTGTGTACCACATTTTCTTCATCCATTCCGTCACTGATGGGCATTTAGGTTGATTACATGTCTTTGCTATTGTGAATAGTGCAGCAATAAACATTCACATGCATGTGTCTTTATGTTAGAATGGTTTATGTTCCTCCCATACCTAGTAATGGGATTGCTCGGTCAAATGGTAGTTCTGCTTTTAGCTCTTCAAAAAATTGCCATAGTGCTTTCCACAATGGTTGAACTAATTTATACCCGTATCAATAGTTTGGGGCTGGTATGACTGAACATTCCTGTATATGCATTTTGATGAACTTATGGACACATTCTTTTGGACACATGCCTAAGAATAAAGTCGTTGAGGCACAGAGTATGTATAAATTGAGTATTCCATATCTGAAATGTTCGGGACCAGAAGTGTTGTGGATTTTCAATTTGGGGAGGATTTTGGAATATTTGCAGAATATATTCTGGTTGAGCATCTCTAATGCAAAAATCTGAAATGCTCCAATAAGCATTTTCTTTGAGTGTCATATCAGTACTCAAAAGTTTCAGATTTTGGAGCATTTCAGATTTCAAATTTTTGGGTTGAGGTGCTCAACCTGTATATGTTCAGCTTTAATGAGCACTGACAAGCAGCTTTTCAAAGTGGTTGTGCTAATTTAAACTCGCATCACCAGTGTATGAGAGTTCCAGTTGCTCCAAATCCTCCTGAACACTTGATATTGCCTATTTTTCCACTTTAGCTGTTCTGATTGATAGGTTTGAAGTAGTACCACATTATGGGTGTAGTTTACATTGTTCTGATGGTTAATGAAATTGAATGCATTTTTTTTTTGTTTACATTTTCTTATAGACATTGCTCAGCTTCTTTGGCTAATCAGGGGTTCATAACTCCTCTAGAGTTAATTAGCAACTATAGTAATGGATTCAAAATAGTAGATTCAAGAGTTCAGAAAAGGAACAAGCCTTTAACAGGCTTGTTGGAGAGACTCATCGAGTTAACATGCCATGAGAGACAGCCACTCTTCTTCCGTTAATACAGAGACTGAGAAGAGATGAATGAGACTGGGAGATGAAACTTTTTCACCTGAAGTTTATATATCAGTGTTTCTCTGAGTGGGGCCAGACCACTGGCCTTAGGATCCTTTTGGATGTGGTAGCAATTTTCTCGTGTGCATGCAGTGTATATTAGGAAAGCAATGTCACCTTTAAATGATTTGACAAAGTACTAATAGGAATCTACCATTATCTTGACTGCTAGAGAAGTCCACAAAGAAAGTGAAAAATGGTAGAATGGTTATAATAGTGAATACATATGTACACACATACATATAAGCAGACATGCATGCATATATACTCCAGCTAAAATTTTCCTAGCAGAGAATTTGTCTTAATAATTCAGAATTAACCTGTTTAAAATATTTGTAATAATTTCTTAAAATGCACCCACCTCCCCTGCCAACTCACAGGTCTCACTTTATTCTAGAGTTGAGGTGGTTGTTACTTATTTGGAATAATTCATGAAACAGGGTTGCACAATTCCCGGAGTAAATACTGCCTACTGTTATGTTTAGAGACGATTATTTTAAAATTTTTGAATGCTTTTATACATGCAACCTAGAAAAGGTCACCTCTGTCTTCTATACCAGGTGGCCTTATAATCTGTGAAAGTACTGGGATTTGCAGCCTTTGTCCCAGAACCTCAGAGGTACAGATTAACCTAATCTCATGGTGATCTGCCATGTCTGTCCTTTCTGCTGTATCCAGCCTCCCTCTGACTAGCACAGGGATGAGAAAGTCATTACATCCAGCAAGTCATGATCTTGTTGAAGACTCTTCATCTTGCTGTTCAACCACAGTCTTACAATTTTTACCTGTATTTTTAAATTTTGTCTTCCAACAGAACAAACTTGCGTCTTTCTTCCTATGTACTAAGAGATCTAAGAAATTTTGCTGCTCAAAAATAGTCTTAGTGATCCTTTTTGTCAGGACAGTGATTATCAGAGTGTGATCAACTATGGTAGCTTCACTTGAAGGGCTGGAAATGTGCATTTCTTTGTCCACAACAGAAACTCGGGGAGGCTGGGCACAGGAAAGCGTATTTTTAATTCTGCAAATGATTCTGATGCATACAAATATCTGAGAACCACTTAGTGAAAATGCTTGTATTTTTGGAACTTGTTAGAAAGACACATTGACTCATCAGTTTTTATTGTTGTTATTTTTTAGAAACAGGGTCTTACTCTGTCATCTGGGCTTGAGTACAGTGGTATAATCATGGCTCACTGGAGCCTCAACTTCCCAGGCTTAAGCAATCCTCCCAACTCAGCCCCCCAAGTAGCTGGGACTACAGGCACGTACCACCACACCCAGCCAATTTTTGTAGAGGCGAGGTTTTCCATGTTGCCCAGGCTGGCCTTGAACTTTTGGGCTCAAGCAATCTTCCTGCCTCAGCCTCCCAAAGTGCTAGGATTACCAGGCTTGAGCCACCACACCCCACCCCATCCTTTTTTCATTCGACAACTATTAGCCTCTAGTGTGTCAGGCACTGTTGAGAGCATGGTGGATGAAGCTTACCAACAAGATGGATGTTAGATCCAGGTTGTAGAGGTTACAATCTAGGGGAGAGGATGGAGCAATACTTTTAGACCTGAAAATTGAAATTTTTATTGTGAACCAAGCTGTGACTCAACACTGGAACAAGGAGTTTACAGAGTGTGGTTTTAGAAAAGTGGGGAGCTGGTCAAGTTATTGCCAAAATGCCACCTCTCTGAGCTGTACAATGCATATTAGCATATTGACAAGTCAGAAATGTCTTATATTAAAGACACCTGTTTAACTCTGTTCATACCTAGAGTTTCCCTGACTTCTTTGGTCAATGAAATTTTTTTTTTTTTTCCCCCAAGAAGCATCACTTCACAGTTTGGTGGTGACATGAAAAACATCAACACAATGGTT